AAAAAAAAAATCACAGAAACCATTTGAAAAAAGTTTCATTCGAAAACCTCAAACCATGAAGATTCTATGAAAATTCAAAGAACCTATTGCAATAAAACGGCAATTTCATACTTTAATCCCTAATACTATGTTAGTTTTGATGTGCGAGCTGATGGTCACAGTGATGAGGGCCTACATAAGCCCTGAATTAAGCCACCCTAATAGTAACAAGTACCCAGACATTACAACAAAAAATGGTTATACCTGTATGTTGTTTTCAGATTATTCATTTCCTTTATTGAGGTAGCACAGTGCAGAGAAAGGTGTGTGTATCCAAACCGTTATGTATCCACTCTGAAACATTAGAGACAATTTATAAGCTTTTATGTCATTTATTGCAATCATGTGATAGATTTGGTTCACATTTACAAATGTTCCATACCTAAACATAAACATATAATAAGTAGGTTATAATAATAACAATAATATAGTCATAAAATGTTCCATCCAATATGAAATTTAAGAAATAAAATTAAAATAAATATTCACATTACTTTATTAATTAAGGTTATGTATTCTTATAATTAGTTAATTATTCTTGTTATTTAATTATTATTAAATTATACCAAATCATTTTATTACATTAAAACTACTTCACACTGGGACGACTGCAATAGGCATATTAAGTATCCAAATCTTCAGGCACAAGGGTAAACATGACATCATTAACAAACAGATCGACAAAATGTTTAATAAGCTGGATTTTTACTCCAATACTGTGTATATTTCATTTTATGAAAAAACTTTGATGACGGCCTCCATGGTCGAGGGGCTTGCTCTGAGGTCCCATGTTCAATCCCCGGCCGGGTCAGTGTAGAAATTAACTTTTGTATATTGTTTCGGGTCTGGGTATTTGTGGTACTGTTGTTGTTTCCGATTTCCATAACACAAGTGCTTTAGGATCAGAGCAACATATGTACAGCGGTCTAATATTTGTTTATTTTATTTATTTAGTATAAAACAAAAATTACTTTATTTCCGTGTAGTAAACTTGTATTGAACTGTGTATAGAAATAGACTTATTTACTTAACAAGATAGACATGGCTCAAGTTGTGGGTACAAACTTTTTGACACAAAAAATGTCTTTTTAATAGGTAGTCCATATCGGAAGGACCACAAATTTAGATAATGTTCAAAATGTACTGAAATGTACCATTATTATGTAAAAATTACAATATAATAACACCAAATGCCCAACTATGTCCTTTAATTTTATTCATGAGTCAAGTATTAAAAGTTTTAAGCAGTTATAATATTTTTATAGTTTTTTAATTATTTTTAATACTAGTGGTTAAATTACAATAAAAGTTTCTGTATTAAACATTTGTCACAGAAACTACTTAATATCAATTGTATATTTTAACCATTCTATAAATCAGAGAAACCTAAAAAATATTTAAACACATTTATCTACGCATTTAGATTTTGTCTTGTGCCTTTCTTTCTTCCGAAGGCAAAAATATATAGAGAAGTCTTTTTTTAAATAACTCGAGACGTTAGGTTTTTTATAATGTCTTAATAAAGGTGTTAATAATAAAAACTCCAACCGCTAGTTTTAATTTTATAGTCGATTACTGTAAAATGGGGGTTCACATCTTTTTAATGGGCCTCAAAAGTAGATTCATCACTGCTTGTTTTGCAGATAACCTAAATACGTAGGTAAGTTAGCTCTCGAGAAGAGAATCATAAATTTGAAGTTGTAATTGTGTACTTACAAGAAAACAAAGAAACACCGGCACAAGGTTATATACCATACACACCACAAAGTACTTTTGTATCACATGACCACAGAACACTATACTCACATGCACATGACACACACACACACTCCATCCAAGTCCATCCATCTACCACTACCCAAAGAATAGGTAAATACTCACCAGTGTTGTCAGGTTAAGTCTAAAAAAAATCGGAAGATATTGCACCAAAAAAAACAGTAAATTGAGAAAAAAACGTAATGCTGAACCATCGAGTACTGCTGGACTTACCTTTCTTCAAACATTGATTGGTCGTTTTCGTTGTGACATTACTGCCCAAAGTAAAAGCGCGTAATGTTTTTGATATTATGTTACGATTTGATATCCTATAAATTGTATTTTCTTCTTAGACTATTATTTCTTTTCCAAGTATTTTTTTTATTACTCCAAGCGGGAATCTCAATTTTGCATTTGACAGCTGTCATTCCAATACAATTGCGAAGAAAAAAAGGCGGGAAACTCGAAAGAGGCGCATTTTTAAAAGTATTTTGTTTGAAAAATATAAAAGAATACTTTAAATAATTGCTTCCTCGCATTTTTTAGATCTGTGATTGGCAAATATGCCGAAATCCAAAATAAAAACACGAAAAGGGGACGATGTTTCGCGGTTTGGCCACATTGTCAAGTTTTACAAAAACTCAAAAAAATTTTCAATATGTTCAGACAGTCACAGCTATAAAGTCTGCATAGTAGAACACGCTAATGTTAAATGCATTAACTGCTGTGGAAACCATTTGGCTATTTCATTTGCTTGCCCATGCTAAGAGTGCTCTAGAGTTGCACAACCACAGAACACTGTACTCACAAGGAGTGCACAACAGTCGTTTCAACGCGCCTTTGTACGCGTATGCGTCCGTACGCGACGTTTGTGCACATTACAAGCCGCGCTGTAATTTTATACGGAGTGTATTTATTGTTCTGTGGAGTTGCCCTACTTGCTTTAGGCTCAACTCACACTGGCGCAGAGTCGAAGCGTCGAGTCGCGTCCCGTTTTTCAATCACAACGCATGGCGACACGCGTCGACACGCAATGGCGTTCGCCTTAGTGCGGGCGGATCACAGTGTGGTCGGCATCTGACGCTTCACTGCGCTCAAGTAACGCGCGTCGATGCCGCTCGTCTCCCAATCAATCGTCGACTCTTGACTCCATATTAATAATGGGAAAAAAGAGATAAATATGCTATAAACGAGATACATGACGCGTCGCGACGCTTCGATTCTGCGCCAGTGTGAGTTGAACCTTATTCTACTATGCCCACGGAAGAAAAAAACTATGCAAGTACCTTAAGCCTCGATTACTATCAGAACCAATGTCAAACATTTCTAATTTAAAACACTACAAAAGATGATAGATTGATACGATGATATTGATTGGTCGTAGAGTCGTAGTTACAAATTAAAAAAGAAAAAGCAAATTCTGGATAGATAATATAACTTAAACTTATTCCGGTGAGACCAAGGTCGAGTTTTTGCATGCCTTATTTCAGAGCGTGACCATGGTCGAGTTTTTGAAATTTGACTAGCCAGAAGAAAATTGTTAATTCGGTTTTAGCCGTAAAAAATTACATTTAGTTGGTCCGCGCCGTTCAAAAGTTATAAGTGTGTTCTTACTGTCCACTCTGGAATAAGCTTATTCCAGCGACACCATTTCTGAACCTTGAGAACCGCAACATCTACCTTAGATTTGATTACACTAAAAAAAGTCGTGATTTAGTCGGTTCAAGCCGTACAAAACTGGATTTAGTCAGTACACGGTTTTGAAGTTATTAAGGTATTTTACTGTCCACCCTGGAATAAGCTTATACCGTCGGGGGGAACCATTTTTGAATCTCGAGAACCACAGCGATCTGACTGCACGCATAAAAAGTCGTGAACTAGTCGGTTCTAGGTGCGAAATTTTAGAATTAGTCACTCCAACTACGCCAACTTTTTTGGTAATTTTTTGTTGTTTTTTAGACAGCCATATTTGTTTATAAAAAAAAAGAAAAAAGAAATAAAAACCGAAATTCGAAAATAAAAGCAAAAAAACGAATTATGTGGAAAAATAAGAAACAAAAAACAAAATAAAAACAGAACAAATTAAGTAGGCATAGAGTTCATTGGAGGCATCGAGTACATAACCAGAATGGCAGAATAGTTTTCAAACAAATTAAATGACATTTCGTGTCTATTCATGGTTATACGTGGGGCTATTAGAGGATGGAAAAAAAAGAAGTGGGGCCTTAAGGTCGTATTCCAGAATTCTATTCAATGCTCAAGTCAGGACTTGAATATGATTGAAAGCACTGAAAATCATTCTCAAATCCATGCCGTTAGGGTCGTATTTCCAATGCTTGAAATCATACCCAAGTCTCCTCAAATCCTGACTTGAGCATTGAGTAGAATTATGAAATACGACTCTAGACTATTCCTTTATTTTTTTCCATCCTCTAAGCGTGTGGCGCACTATAAGTTTCCGGAATGAATAAGAGAAAAATACAACCTGTACATATATGGTCGGAAATGAATTTATTGTTTCTAAAAATATCTTCCGTTAGCGTTAATGCACTTTTCCATACGAATGGACCAATTTTGAAAACATTTATGCCACTCCTCCGTGACAATCTCTGAAACATATTTTTCATACTCTTCGACAGCCTCTTCAGGTGATGAAAATCGTTGACCGCGAAGCTGGTTCTTCATTTTTGGAAATAAATAAAAATCACAACGTGTCAGGTCGGAACTATAGGCGGGATGGATCATAAGGTCAAAGTTGTTCACCTTCAAAATTCATTTGTTTGCCTGGCCGTGTGAGAACTGGCATTATCGTGGTGCTGCATTTGTCAATAACTTCCGGCAAACAAATGGTCGTGTACCAATCATTATTCACGGTACAACGATTCTCCAAAAGCAACAGTAGTCACGTGTCCAATTTTATTAAAACAAGAAGCAATCATCCGCTTAGAGGCACTTTGCACGCGCGCCACTTTGTTTGGTTTCGGCTCATCTCAAAAGACCCATACGCTCGATTGCTGCTTTGGTTTGGGATCGTAACTATAAATCCACCGAATTTGCCGTCTCTTCCTTGAATCTGGTAAGCATGACATTGCACCAAGTAACGCGATCCGTTTTTTGAGCCTCAGTCAAATTGTGTGGGAACCACCGAGAGCACAGCTTTTTCACACCCAAATGTTTGTGTACTATTGGTTGTATTTGTCTCATACCTATGCCTAAAGATGTCCGAATCTCATGGTATGTCACCTGCTTATCTGTTTTGATCACACGGCGCACAGCATCGATGTTTTTGTTGTTCACAGCAGTGGACGGGCGATCATCACGAAATTCGTCACTGAGATTCACACGACCGCGTTTGAATTCTGCAAACCAGTTATAAATACTCGTCTTGCATGGTGCTTCATCGCCAAAAGCAGTGAGAAGCCGAGTGAAGCTCCGCTGAGCTGTTGAATTACACTTAGGGTCGTATTCTAGAACTCTACTCAATCCTCAGGTCAGGATTTGAGTATGATTCAGAGCACTAGAAATCATACTCAAGTCCTTGCCATTAGGTTTGTATTTCCAGTGCTTGAAATCATACTCAAGTCGCTCAAATTATGACTTGAGCATTGAGTAGAGTTCTGGAATACGACCCTTAAAGTTGTAGAAAATCATACTACAAAAAATTTTCTCGAGTTAAATCCATGGTGACGTAGACAACCAATTTCTAAAATGACGCCACGCTGTAAAAACAAGTGACAGTCAGATTGTTTCATCTGTAATCTTAGACTTAGTTTTTAACCGACTTCAAAAAAGGAAGAGGTTCTCAATTCGACTGTATTTTCTTTTTTTTGTATGTATGTTACGCGATAACTTCGGTATTTGTGAACGGATTTTCATGATTCTTTTTTTGTTGGAAAGGGGGTACTTCCATAGTGGTCCCATTTCATTTTGAAGAAAATCATCCACCTCGAACGGTGGCTGCTCACTCATGAAAATTCATTTTTGTAAATAGCGCCTAACTTTAATTTATGCGCAATTACTTTAATGGTTGATTTTGCTATTTCTCCAATTCAAGGCGTTTTTCCCTCAATATACTTTGAGTAGTGTCGTAGCGAGACCTATTTTTTATTATCTCCAGTGTCAAGTCCTGTATAGTGGCGAACTAGGGGATATTTCAATAAAACTTAGCAAATACACATAATTCCACTTATTTTTGAGGTCGGTTTTTTTAGTACTCTGTACTGAGATTATTGGTTTCTTTAGTTTGGCTGTGCCAGAGTTCCATTTTCAAATGTAATTACTTTTTAAATATTGTTTATGTAAATGGCTAGTTCAGGAAACTTATAGTGCGTTCTATGTATACTCGTTGACTCTAAGATTGGAGATCCCTATACGAAACTATAAAGTTTAACTTTTCTAATATGGCTGGTTCGTCAATAGATGGTAGATATCTAAGTTAAGATACAAAATAAAACTCCTTTGGCGTTCACTTTTATTTAATCATAAATCCAAATATCCTCAAGTAATTTTTAATACATTTTTCTCGACTAGTCTTATGATTAGAGGTAATCTACGTTATCTTTTATAGAACCGGGGCCGCGTAAATTACATAAACGGAGACAAAACGGATAACTTCGTTGCATGATCCAAGGAATAAAGATGGCATTATAATAGCAACTATTGTTTTTCTGAGACCAGTTATCCTTCTATAAATAGCGAAAATGGATGTTATTGATAAACTAATCACATAATATTGCACGATACAAACCAGTTCTGCATGTGTCGATGGAGACAGTTAGCAAGGCAAGTGGCATCATATCATAATAAGGCAGAATTATCAATTTATTGTAAAGGGTTTTCCATCAAGAACGGGTAGATTTTGACAGTTCATAGAGCACCCATTTTGATAATAATTTTGTATCATTTGCACGTGTTGATCGACGCTGTAACTTGCCATGATGATTCGTCTTTAGCGACTGAAAAATAAACAGCAGATTTGACGCAGGTAACCTCAACAACATGGCCGCTATGAACT